AGCCGAACGAGACAGCGCGCGTGCAACGGATATAACACCTGAAAGGACCCCCCAAAAAAATTGATCTACATGGAAAGACTTTGGCAGGGTTAAGCCACATGAAGCAAGTCCGGTAAAAGTTATTCCACATAGAAAAGCGTGCGCGAAAAATTAGCCTAGATGGAAGGGCGTGTCGGACAAATTACGCCACATAAAAGGGCGTCCGCGAAAATTAGGCCACATAGAAAAACATTCAAAAAATTACCCCACGTGAAACAACGTTCGCAAAATTACCCCACGTGAAACAACGTTCACAAGATTACCCCACGTGAAAGAACGTTCGCGAAATTACGCCACACGAAAGCACGTTCGAAAAATTAGGCCACAGGCAAACGCCCATATAAGAAAGAGGCGCCATGAAGGGTACTGTGATAAAAATGCGGAAACATGAAAAGACCTAATCATGGGGCTGATACAACAGGAGGGCCCAGGCACAAGCACTATGAAGCATGGAGTCTTATATGCGAACAAATTGCCATATGAGTTAACACACTTATAAAAATGCAGAAACAGGAAGAAACATACACAGGAAAATGCAACATACGAGGTAATACTGGTGAAAATATCGAAACATCAGAAAAGGGGCTCACGTAGAGGATGGGGCATAAGGACGCATTCACAAAAGTAATGTAACTATAAAGGAAACCATATAAGCACAGGGGCTCACCATTTTACGTGGTACTCACCCGATGTGAATATCTCTATTCCATTGTACTCATAGGAGTTTCCACAGAAAGGCATAAACACATTTAAACCCTATAGCAGCCCTCTCAATCGTATGCAACATACAATTAAAGTTCAATGTAAAATTAGAACTCATATTATACCAGTTCAAATTCAACAATGCATTACTCCCTTTATATTTGCATAGATAAAACACGTCATGGACAATCGTTTAATTTTAGGGAGCACATCTTTATGCCAAATGAACAATCTTCTAATCCGAATCAGCATATACTGGTAACTATGTTTTCCCTGCGCTCAAAAATCTTTAACCATCCCTACCATTCTCTTTCCTTCTCCTTGTCTTGTCGAGTAGCCCCTTCTTGTATGACTCCAGATGAACATCATAATACACCTGGCTAATACCTCTTATTTCTATCACAGATGGACTGATCCCATATATAGAAGGAAGTAATATACATATATGTATGTATATCCATGGGTATATGTTCCATGTTCAGCTGTACAGAGGTCAACAACACATAGGCTGTTATCAATAGATGGTAGCAATGTATAGAGGCATGTACATTATGTGTATTTCTTCAGGGAAGAGGGCTATTATGCTTCTCGAAATTGATGTATTCTCAGTTCAGACTCATAATGTAGATTCACCTGACACTTCAAAATCAGGAATGTGATATTTTCTTTTCTTAGTTGACTATAATTCATGATATACAGAATGGAAAAGTCGGTTATACTCACACATATTTGTTATTTTCAGTTTTTCTTCATGATTCTATACTTTAATTTTCTCTTAAGCTCTTTGATGTATTCCTTGTAATATATTATAACCACCCCCACGACTCCTTCACTATCTCCGCTCCCTGTGTTATTATATGTATCGGGGGGTAATCACAATAAATTCCTGCATGATGATTCTGGTCATTCCTTATCGATTCTGGTTTGCTCCTGATTAACATCCTTCGATTGCGCTCTATGCTTCGTTGCTTTACATACGGATGTAATACTGGTATTCTTTTGTTTTTCTCCTTGTTAAATTTTGTCCATAATAAGTAATCCTCTCAACCGAATTAATCGAACCGCGTTAACATATTCCTAGTACTGAACAGCTCCCGTAACCGAACAAGAGTAATTCTTAAATATAATTACTGCAATATCTTATCCTCCACAGATTCTATTGTACAGCGAAGAATGTTTAACTTTTACTACTCACTCGCATACTTATTCCCATTTAGTCAAGCCCTTGATTAGAAATGGATCTCTTCCTTAAATCATATTAAACTGATGTAGTGACAGATTTAACAGTTTCATTAAAACCATCATGATTTGCTCACTTAATCTTTGACCTTAATATCCAAAAGGGGATATTCTGTAAAGAATACCAGATTTACCTCAATGGGCGCGATATGATCAAAATGAATAAATATGAGGTTCTTCAGTTAATTATTAATTGAATACTTAGCAGAAATGTTTTCCACACCTTTTGTTTCATAGTATCCAATTCTGTATGCTAAGACACCATTGCCTCTTAGGCCGCCTTCCAGTTCCTCCGTATAGTTTAACGCTCCAATCAGTACACATAAATAAACGACAAATTAAGTATCGCAAAATCTATCAGGAAACAGAAGAAGAAAACAAGCAACAAGAATTAGGCAAACACTTCTGGAAAGGACTCTTCCGTACAATTGACCAAGTGTACAAGATGAGGATTATATTCTAATATGTGAGTTATCACAATCTACAATACCCATTCTGGTACGCCGACTTGTTGGGCGTGTGCTATCATAACTTCTTAGAAGCAATATATTAGCGTTATGCCACTTATCAACATAATATTAGCAGACACACACATATATATATATATATGTATACCTACGTGTATATAGCTATAGGTACCATTATAGGGGTCAATGAAAGATTATTAAAGTGTGCAGTCATATAAATATGCCTCTCCACTCTTACTAATTTTTCAGCTTTCTCATAACTCTTTCGCTACACGGGGAGGTGATTGCGAAAGGAGTAATGTTTCTCAATAGACATAAAATGTTACTTATAGTAAAATGCTCCCTTCTGTGTACAAGAGAAGACACATAGACGTCCTGAGCAAAACGCGTCTGCATAGGATATAGGGCACAAAATTTTTCCTTGCATGGGATCAACACCAGCTCCTTCCTCTTCTTTTAGGTGCTTCTTTTTCCTTCTATGCATACAATGTGACCATCGATAAGCAGCAACAGACAGAGACGATGTTGATCATGAATACGAAGAGAAAGCATATTTCAAATATGTAATTTTACACGAATGAACTAGCTTGCATGGAACGGATATGTTCATATTTTCCCCTACTTTCCTCTTGCTCCTATTCTGTCTAGTGTAGTCTCTTCTATA